CAGTAGGAGGAGCAACAACAACAGCAGCAGCAGCAGCAGCAGCAGCAGCAGCAGCAGCAGCAGCAGTAGCAACAACACTGGATGGTCAGATGAGCTCGGCTATAGACATTTCTCTCACACTTGTGCGATGTTAGTGAATGCTGTAAGTCAACAAATATTCGGTGCATATCGATTTTCGGCTATTTTCGGCCGGGTCGTGTTTGGACGAAAATTTGCCGTGGCCGAAATTTTGTTTTGCAAGGTTCAGTGTGACAGTGTATACAGGCGGCAGCAGTACAGGTCGAACATTTGATGCGGTCGAAATGGAATTTAGCCCTGGGAGGCCGAAATTTGAATGGGTCGACAATTTGTATAAACAACAGTCTAAATAAAGAATACAAACAAACAAAAAAACAGTGCTGTATATACCGGAGTATACGCCACACCCAGGGTTTTTGTCACGAAATACAGACATCTACTCTGTTTATCACCATTAATTCCGTTTGGATATTGATACGGTCAGACCCTCCCACATTAGGATCATCTGGTGGCTCAGGACCGTCCGCTTCCTCAGGCTCCGCTCCAGCTCCAGACCATTGCGTGTTGAACACTCCGACCTTGCTCTTATGGGGCAAGCTTCCTCCCTGCTGGATGGGTGATCCACAATATTGGTTAGCGCAGGCGGAGTTCGCCACCAACAAGACCGCCACCTCAAAGGCCCGGTACAACGTGGTGATAGCTTCGTTTGTACCTGAGTTGGATATCTGTTCATTACAACCAACCTTCCATTTTTTTCTCTTCCACAATATCCTTTAACATGTTATTCACAGCGGGTCCAATGTTATTAGGCATGTTGCCTGTTTTGATTTCCACTATAAATTAAGTATACAACAACAACAAAGTTTGCCACGCGGTCAGGGATCTCCTGATCACAACGCACGCTGCTGATGACCTTTTCTCTTTTTTCTTCTTTACTTTAAAAGTTAAAAGCCATGCGGTGCATGCACATGCAGCAGCCATGGTGGTGGGGGCCCCTGGCGCTTCGTCCAGGCCCAAGAACCCCATCCCGGTACAGATTGAAGAATATAATAATTACACCCCCCCCCCCCCCCCCCCCAGTGCCACATGAGGGGCTTATTACTGATCATATACTATACCCTCATGGATGCAGCTAATGGGATTTCGGTCTTTGACCACTTGCTGGTGGGTCTGATCTACTCACCTCCCACCGTTTAGGCGCTGCATCTGTGCCTTTGATCCTAGAGAGTGGTGGCGTTCCCACGGCAGATGCGGAAAACTCGGCTTCCAGCCGTGAAATTTATTATTTTTATTACTGTACTCTCCACTACTACAAAACACTAGTACAGTCAGACCTCGCATAACCGCACACATCCGTTTTCCACAAAAATATCCGGATAGGCGAGGGAACCGGATAATCGAACACACATACTGTATGTAAGCATGGCATATGCTGTACATTTGTAACCAACTATTTTCTTCCGGATGGCGAGAAATCCGGATAAACGAGGTCTGACTGTACTTCACTTCACTGCTGACCAGGTCAGAGTGGATCGAATTTTAACCCCAGAGTCGTTATTTATTGACTTCTAGCATGCCTTTCTTCTAGTCCAAGGCTTGTGCGGCGGAATTTCCCTGTGACTAGGCATCATTGAGCAGACACAGCACCTCCAATCAGCTTCCCATTCAGGGACAGCTGATCGGCTAAGTGATTTCCACTTCTTGGCCACTTGACCTGCCCATACTGTGCACGTGGGTATGCAGCAGCAGCAGCAGCAGCAGCAGCAGCAGCAGCAGCAGCAGCAGCAGCAGCAGCAGCAGCAGCAGCCAATAGACGCCACACGCACACACAGAGCACTCTACTCTCTAGCACTCTAGACTGCATTCCAGATACATCTACGAATGAGACATCCTCAGGCTCAGGGTATGCTTGAAATAGAAAAAGCCCCCCCCCCCTCGAAAGTCTTATGATTTGTAGAGTACTACAGTACATTTTGTAGAGAGTGCAATCAATGATCATGGTGCAACTTGCTTCATTTAAAGGGATGCGTCTATCTACAGATTTGCCCGAGACTCAACAGGACCAGGAAATACACAGGCAGCTTGGCACTGAACAAAACGGTGATTGCAATCCTTTTGTCTTACATATCATCTTCCACAATCATGTTTTGAAAGCCCTGCAGATATGCGAACGGCTGCCGGGATTTGTTGGTGCGCGCTGGAACGCACGGGCGACCTTAATGTCTTCAAAAAAGTAGAACACGGTTCTACTTGGCCGATTCTCACCGTCGATAGCTCATTATCTCGGTCTTGGAATTCTCTATCGGTTTATCGTCCCCGATTTCTATATTTTCTCTTCATTCGCTTGTTTGCACGTCTTCGAGTTTGAGTGATGTCACCATTCGATCTCAGCCAAACGAAGGCCAAATCGAAAAATTCGAGACGGTAACCCTCCAAAGACACACCTTCTGAACACAAATCCACAATGGCCTAATGTCTAAAACCAATGAATACAGCTATTAAAGTTAAGCCCAGAAAACACCCCGTATTTGCAAGAAACGGCCCGTTTTGCCGTGCGCTGATTGGTCAAATCCAAATGACCGTTATTGACGCTTTGTACGGTCGTGGTGAGCCCTGACATATAGATCAGGCGCGTGCTCGGCGATGGGCACGGGGGGCACGTGCACCCCCCAACAAATTTCAATCTGGGTAATTGCATTTGTAATGTATGCAAATATGCTCTAAAATTCAAGAAAGGTTGCAAACAAATTGCAGAAAATTGCCGGGGGGGCTCCCCTCGGCTCCCGTGCACCCCCCTAGTTGGGGGGCCGAGCACGCCCCTGCTTAATACAGGTTAAGCAATTACTTGTACGTCAGATACTGTGCGAGTCTGCCAACTCACGCTGCATGATTGACGTACATACTAAGGCTGTGTTTACATGAAGCGTTTCAACCCGGGTTGAGTTCGACCCGGGTCAGATTTCAACCCGCCATGTACACAAAATGAATGGCGCGTTTAGATGACGCATTGCGCTTGACCCGGGTTGAAATTTCGCCCCTGGTTGATTTCAACCCTCCCCCCCCCCCCCCCCCCCCAAGGGGAGTCAAGAAAATCGTACAAACGTACTTCTGTGCGTATCTCGCGCCAGGTTTGAACGGCACTGGAGATGCAAATTTCGCGCGAACGGATTCACATGACCATACAGGACTGTAGAAGTGGACTTTTGGCGGCATATCAGTATTTGACCCAGGTCAACTGTCTTCATGTAAACGCTCACCTCTTTTGTCTATCGTAAAGACTTTCAACCCGGGCTAAACTCGACCCGGGTTGAAATTTCTCATGTAAACACAGCCTTAGCTCCTCTAAGCAAATCCTCCAGCACACACCGTATACTTAGCTCCCAAAAGCAAATGCTCTGCAGGGGGGTTCGCCACCACTCCAAGCTGGCATGACATCATTAAATTTTGCACAACCTCTGTAGAAGCTATGTGAGTGACATCATCGCATAGAAGTTACTAGTGTACGATTACGTCATCAGTCAAAAATGCTTTGCATGCCAAGGGCATGGAGTGGCAAGACTGCATCATAGCATACACCAAAATTTCACTTCCACAAAATGAGTAAAGAAGTTTATAAGTAATCGCCTCTGTAAACTAGGTTCAATAACACAGAGACATTCCACGCCCAGCAGGGATTCCCCAGTTTACCAGTCTTGAGGCTAAGCATGCTCTTTACACTGGCCTGTCATCTTGAGCACTCTGCCAAGGTAGGTTATGGGCCTTGGTATAAATACGCCTTCGACAAAAATACACAAAATACACATTATCCGCCGGCTTTGAAAAAATATATGTTTTATTGTCAGGTGCGGCCCCATTTCCTCTGTGCTGTGCTGATGAGCCCACAAATTTGAAGAAACAGTTCTGTCCCCAGATTGAGTATCTTCCTTTATGTAGCTTTTTTGCCAGCATACGTTTGGGAAATGAGTAGAATACGTCAATGCTCCTGAAACATGCGTGCGCGTTTCTCATGCTCATGTTGTTGTACGTTTTGAAAATAATTACATGACATATACACACGGACACACATACACACACGCGCGCTCGCGCACACACACAGGAGCCGCACCGAAGTCAATTATTTGAACAACAACATCAACTCACGCTGATTTCGTGGTAGCGGAACGAGGCGCGTGCACCGAGGTCCAGCATGCGCACCGTACAACGCATCATTCCCTTGCGAGACGCCATGGCTAGCGTTCGCTGGCTGTAGAACTACGGACCACGCTGTACGACTGGAACTGGGGAGCTCAAACGCTCCTGTTGCTCGTTCACTGTTCAACGAGTTGATAGCAGACCACAATTTCACTGAGGATGACCATGCGCCGAGTGTATCGGAACTCCAATCCTCGATACACCAAAATGTAACTCCAGGCACTGGTAAATACAGCTTGGTCCACACACGTACACACACACACAGTAACACTTTCTTGCTAGCGTGCTAGCTAGCGGCGTAAAGGAACGCCGTGAAGTGTCACACTCACGTAGACTGGGACCGTTATGTTGGTGTCAGGCGAACACTACTTCGAGTTCCAATCGATTCAGCACAGCGACCCACTGCCGGAAATTACTTGTCTAACTATAACGAGACTGCGTCGCACAAACTGCTACTTCTCTGCGACATTCCAGCGCTATTGCACCGCGTGGATGTGGGCAAAAGCGACTTCCTCTCAGCTCGCTATGTTTTCCTCTCTCACACTCGTGTCCCGCGGACCTGTCTGCGTCAAAGACAAACTCAGGTGAAGTCATGCAGCGAACGGTGCTCTGACGCTCACTTGCCAGGCTAGATCATGTGAGTGTGCTGGACGGAAGCCGGAGAGAGCTCTAAATCACCATCACACGCACTCGGCTGCACCTAGCACGTTCCTCTAGCGAACAACACACATACCACGGCGATTCAAATAAATTTCACGGGCAGCACGGCGGAAGAGGATTCGATTCACGAAGCTAAGGCCCCATTCACACACGGTACAAAACCGCATACAAGCATCATGTTCTTTGAAGTGGGCATGGAAACATGCCCGAAAAGTGAAAAATCACATCAACGTTCAAAGCCATCCCGGAGCGGCTTTGAAGGCGGCTTTGAAAGCGGATTTCGGCTTTTAGTTTTCAGGCAAGTCGAAACAAGTGGTTTGGTGTGTCGAGTTTTTGTTAGTTTTTGGAGAGTCCGGTAGTACCATGCCTCGAGTTGTCTTTTCTGCCGAGGCGGAGCTACGGCTGATAGAACTATGGGGAAAATACAAGCGAGAAAAGTGAAACTATGATGAAAAGAGCTGTTGCCGAGAAGAGGATTGCAGATGAGCTGAATCTGTGCGCAAAGCAGCTACCCGGAGTGATCAGGAAATGATATACACGGCCTACCCATGGCCGCTATCGTTCACAACTCCAGCACACTCAGAGGAATACACCAGTTGTGGAGGCGTTCCACCGAGATCATACTAGCGGACCAAGAAAAAGTATTTTTGAAATGTTTAGCCGTACCGGTGCGCTCAGCTCATGCAGAAATCAAAATATTTTAATTCCGCTATCGTTCACAACTCCAGCACACTCAGAGGAATACACCGGTTGTGGAGGCGTTCCACCAAGATCATACTAGCGGACCAAGAAATAGTATTTTTGAAATGTTTAGCCGTACCGGTACCGGTACGGTGCGCTCAGCTCATGCAGAAATCAAAATTCCGGCTCTTCGCTATGGCCTATAGTATGGGAGTATGGGTCACGCGGGTCACTTTTTACATGTTAGGCATGCACTGCATTTGACTGTGTGAATGCACAGGCGTTGCAAGTGGCTTGTACCGTCATGTAAACGCGAATTTTTGTACCGTGTGTGAATGCAGCCTTAGCACACAACTCAACTGTCCACCAACGCGCTGGCTCGCTTTGTTGAACGGCACCGAACTGTCAAGACTGGCCCATGAAAGGCGTACAAGCATGATGTGCTATGCAGTCAGTAGATCTCCTACGGTTGTATGTCAGTGTTGATATCTCTACTCTACTCACGCAGGTACCAAGTGACTGATATGTTACCTGCGATCAGATTTCAGCAGCACAAAACTGTCATGATCTGATCGCAAAACTCTGATACCAGCGCATACAACTAATTACTTACAAGTACGCTTGTACTTGTACTTGTACCTCAAAAAGTCAAATCCCATAAGCCATAGCCATAGAGTCTACGACTGGGCGTATTACTCGGGTGTAGCTACTCACATAGAACTATCTCCTGCGATTCCCTATCCACAAAAAATGTTTCGCTCCAGCACCATTTAGACCTCTAGCTCTACCATGACAGACCGTGTGCCAAAAAGCCAAGGAAGCACCATACCACCGCGGTACCGGTGTCCCAGAATAAATCAACGCCTGCACCTGCGATGGCTGTAGCCTGTGTACATAATCGTCATTGTAGGCTGCAGCATGCAGGGCATGCTGTACTGAGTCGGGTGCTATGCTGCTGCGCTCGTCGCTCGGAGTGACGCTGTCCAAAACGATGGAGTTATATTTATTGCAACATCGAGTTGGACGTTTCACAACGAACTATCCACCACCGTCTTCACTTCAGACTGCAGACAGAGCGAGTACATGCATGCAAGAGAGTTAAAGTCATTCAGGTCTCTGCCATGGCATACGGAGTGAAGTCACCGAGCAAGAGAACGCTTTGTTGATCTCAAGACTCAACACAAAAATAGGAGCGCGCATCTAGCTACATACTTACTAGTCATAGGGACTAGGTGTGACAGTCATGTCGACAGACTAGACAGAGACTTCACTAGCTCTGTCGCAGTGCAGGTGCCACTCAGCTCCTGCACGCGTCTCTCAGTACCTGTACTAGGCTGTAGATCGTCTGTAAAAAGTGTAATCTGTATGCATAGTGCACTAGTGACGGTTTGTGAGCAGCTCGGCCTAGCGCCTTGCGATGCTAGATCATGAGCTGGCTCGATGTCACGACAGCTAGCTGTCAACTATTTTATTTTTTCAAGTCTGCCCATAGACATAGTATCCCGCGCATGTGGTAGTGGCACTACTGTACTCCTCTAGTCTGTAGTGCCACTGTTGAACACGATGTCCAAGATGCGGGTCGCCGAAGCATAACCAAGATTACAAGACTACACTCATCTGCCTACACAGTCCAGCCCATCGCTCAGGTGCCGGTACAATGGTGTACTCCCGGCGGTAGACCCGTATCGAAGTCCCATCGCGTGCCCATCGTGACCGCGGGGAACAGTTTGATCGCTATCTGACTGTGGATCGACACAACTAAAAATTCACAAGACCAACACCTCTGGACCACACATACTACTACTACTACTACTACTACTACTACTACTACTACTACTACTAGTACTAGTACCGGTACACAATATCATGGTAGTAGTAGTAGAATTTATTATTTTGATAGGGAAGGCCCTACAGCAGACGTTGCCGTCTTGGTACATGTACCATACACGATGTGAACCCCTCCTTCATGGTAATCATGGTTTTGATTTTTTTAATTTTTTACTAAAAAGTAAAAGCCATGTGCACATGATGTGGTGCACGTGCAGCAGCCTAGCCATGGTGGTGGCCCTGGTGGGGGTATGTCATTGTCAGGGCAAGCTCGAACAGTAGAACTCAGACTGGCACGAGTCGTTCGCCAACAAGGACAAAAAAACTTGAGATGTCTGGTCATACTGCGCGTACTGCATGCAGTACTGAACATTAAAAAAGAATATAATTATTATTTTCACTTCTAACGTCATCCACACACACATACGTAATAATGATTTATGTTCATGACAACACTCAACTTCAACTGTCAACACTACAGCTCACACACATACGATGTTTATGACAACACTCACCTGTCAACACCACAAGCTTTTTCAGCAACCACAACCACACCACTAGCAGCTGGATCATGGAGTCAAGTGACAGTCACTCAAGTCAAGAGACTGAACTCTGAAGAGACTGAGTACTGAGTATTATTCATTGTTTTAGTACTATTTACACCGCTACCGGCGGCATGCTGCCTGCACCGTGACCACTGACCAGGTGACTTGGCAATAGGCCTGTCCGAAAACTGGGCACGAAGAAATGGCTCACAGAGCTGGCGAAGTGGTCGCTTGTCACGCTGGTCTTTAGTTACAGGCAGGGAGTAGTACAATATCGGGTTACAGGTTTTGCTAGTGGAGAGTTTTAAAAGTCATCTCAGCATGAAAAAGGTTTTTGGTCTCCCTCGCCGTACCCCGACTGTCTTTGTTTTGCGGCACGCTAAGTTATACTCCCTCGAATCTCGTCTCAACTTGAGGCTTTTTATTTTTGTTTTCCGCTGTATTCATAAGCTTACAAGTCCTCTTCTTTCCTCAATGTTCACCCTCCAGTCGGCTGGTACTTGCACCGAGAGGCGCACTAGAGGGCAATCATTCTCTTCACTTTCTTTGCCCGCTGCTACCACTAGATATGGCATGTTCTCTATTTCTTTCCTTGGCGCTGATGCCTGATGGGTGGAATTCTCTGCCTGTCTCGTGTCGTCACTGACGTCAGGTTGAGCATCTATCCGTTTTTGTTTCGCTCTGTAAAGAGCACTTAGGGTTCCCTGTAACCAGACGGCAACGTCTGTAGGGCCTTCCATATCGGTTCCGATGGTATATCTCGAGCTCGCCTCCGTACGATATTGCAAACTAACTAACTGTTACTTGCCATATCGCCGATTTTCTGATTGCGTTTCCATGGCGACTACAGGTGATGACGCACACTCTGCTTAGCTCCGTGAGAGAGAAGGTCGATCACTGCAGTGTCCTTTTTCAGTTGTCTTACTGTATTCACGAAGTGAAAGAAGTGCTGTGTTCAATGCTGTTAGTGCCGTGAACTGTTTATTAGTAGTCCTCTCCGTTGTGTACTGGGACGTGACACCGACAGGAGAAAGCTGGAGTGCGGAGACGTTAGCTGGCAAGCGAAAATCGTGACGAACCAAGTGCTGAAATCTTGGTTGGGACAAATCAAACGTTCAGCATTTGCCTCAACCAAGGACCATGCCGTTTGCTCTTTCCACTTCCTGACGATGGATGCGCTGCCTGCTGGATACTCTCCTATCTCTCGTAACCTATTCTGAAGCCACGTGAGACGACGGGTAGCGGTAATACTAATAGACCGATCCCCTTATTATTGTCTGGGTTCGAGCAAGGGGGCAACTCCGCAGTCGCGTGGGATCCTGCTGCACACACGCGATAAACCTCACCGCGACTGTGCGTGACTTCTCGCATGCGAAGTGCAGAGCACACGAGATCTACATGCAGTGCAAGCCTGTCTACAAAAAAATGCCACAAGGACTTTTGATTTGAGCTGTTTTGTTTTTGTTTAGACGTCTTCCTTTTTACGACTTCAGGATGCCTTCTCAGAACATTGCTGCGTTCCTCACTGTCAGAACAGGAGGACGAAGCCAACAAGTCATTTCACTCCTTTCCTCGTGTGGAGCCACTGCGGCCTGGAGCAAGCGGATCCAGGCTATTCCCCGTGAGGAAGGACGTAGTTTTAGGGTCACTCTGAATATTTGAGTTGCAGCGATCATTTCGATCCCGAAATCGAAATCGTTTTGCCCAGCTCTACAAGGACAGGATGAGTCCAGGAAACCAAACAGCTGTCCTACGGTACCAGGTTTGCTTTTCGCAAGAGAGTGGAGTCTGGAAGCCCTGCTCCCCATGATCGCAAAACAGTATTTGCTGAGCCTAGTGCAGTTCGGTCATGGAAGTGCAGCGTCTGCAACACGAGCTCCCCATGCTCGCAAACCAGTATTTTGCTGAGAGGCAACGGCACTTTGAGTTGGAAAGGAACCTGGCTTAGTGCAGTTTGGTCCTGTAATGGAAGTGCAGCATCTGCATCAGGAGTTGGCAGCAAGTAGAGCTCGTGTACAGAGTCTCGTGGAGCAGTTTGACGATGTGAGGACTGGGGTGAAGAAAGCCGAAAAACAGCT